TTTCGCGCATAATTGCCTTGAATCATACTATCATAAGAAAATAAAATTAAAACAATTTCCTAAATACTCTGCGTTATATTTACAATTCACAACGGCCCTTGTTAATGGTTCACCCTAAAGGAGTTCGTCCTCGATCTTCTAATGTTTGCCTTTATAATTGGTTTAGAACAGTTTTGTACCTTTTTGATAGGACACGTTTATCCTTGTACTGTCAGTATTCTTAAGTTTAACATGGAACCATATTGATGTTTTTTATGGTTATTTAAGTTATCATGCATCGTAAGTATAGAACACCATTTAATTATTGTATTTCCTTACTATGTAAGTTTACTTTTGAATTACAGGCCTGAAGATGGCCTCAGTCGAATATTTTTTTTATATTTGATTAAGTAAATACATTGTGGTATTGATTATGAGTTTAATTGTTAAAATACATTTAATTGAGAAAGTATTAACTAAAAATAAAAAAATAATACGTTTGTTTTACTAATTTCAGTGTTTGTGTCACCCTGTTAATACCGATTGTTATTTAATGATAAACCGTATTTTACTTGCAAGACTGAGTCATTTGGGTTGATAAAAAATTATATCAAATATAGGGCTTAGTTATTTGTTTTTTTTTTTATTTCATGCCAGACGCGAGCAATCATGAGAAATGTAAATTTTGCCACAACTATTCGATGTTAACGGTTAAATAAGCGCTAAAATAGACATAAATATAGTCTATAATCATTTTATATCAATGACATGTCATTGCATAATGCAGGAAGTGCTATGTAAATTAATAAAATAATTCAAACGTTCTTTAGAAATTGTTTTTATATTATATTGAACAATTGAGAAAATTGGGTATTAGAAGTATTATGGACAGCATTAAAAGTCTTTGTTTAGAATGTATGATTTTACAATACATAACCTATCTTGAGGGCCATTTACTCAACATTTCGAAAGTTCTAAATTTTTAGTCTAATTCGTCAATAAACTGCTCCTATAGTTTCATTAAGAGCGTCCATAATACATAGAAATTAGGGTTTTACTTTCGTGTTGATAAAAATAGGACTATAAAAAACGCAAAGAAACTTGTATACAGTCCACTAAATCCAGATTTGATTTTTCTCCACCATCCTTCAAAAAAAAAAAGCTTTTCCATTCTTCCAATCAGAATAGTAGTTTGTGAAATCAAAGTGAGTGCGATATGGATAATCCATTAAGGAAAATCTAAAAATTTTAAAAAATAATTTAGACTATTTAGAGGTTAAGATAAAATAATTTGACTTTTATTAATTTGTAAAATGGACTTCAAAAAACAAAGATTTTAATTACTCTTCAATCCTGGATTTGAACCTAGGCTCTTTCGCATGGCATCTCAGTACTCTACCTCTGCGAGAATGAGACAACTAATTTTTTTTCTTTTAATACTCATAATTAAATTATTGGTTCAAGGTGGTTGAATGATAGAAATGATGATTAAAATTTACGATTTATTTGTAAATATACACAAATATCTTGTGGAATGTTATTATTAATCGATTTTTCACTTGAATCAGTCATTTTTAATAACTATATTTCAACTAAAAAAAATATACTGACAATTTGTTTGACAAAATTGTAACTCATTTAAGTATATTTTTTACTTACCGAGATTAAAAATGAGTGATCCTTGTGAAAAATTGATAAAAAATGGTAATTTTCTAGATATTCGTTTATATTTACAAAGAAACTATAAATTTTAATAAAACTGTGCCGTGAGCCGTTTTAGATCCGCCCAGTCCTGTTTTAATCACTTAAGTCCCTCTCTGCCTTATTTGGGCCTCTTACGACCTCTCCTTTTCTGATAACCAAGAATATTCAATAGAATAAGTTAACCTCGAAACTTCCCATGGTAGACATTGCCAATCATGAACCATGAACCGTTGAAAATTTGGTGGATACGCCACCCCAGAAAGTTCTCGACCCCGATGAATTATCTTGAAATTGCAAGGAATGGTGGAGGATGTCTAGATATTTCGTAGCAAGTTCTAGTGACTGCGAGAAACTCCACGCGTCGTTATGGATATTTTTAGATAAGAGATCGACCAGTTCACATAATAAATGTTGTAAAAGTAAATTAGTATATATAACTGAAACTAAATAAAATAAATTGAAAAATATTGTATCTATTGAAAATAAATTAAATAAACTTAAAAAAAGGAAAATAATTTTAACTCAAATATGACCAAGATGTAAAATAAAAAAATAAAATAAATCACGAAGCACACGATAAATAATAAACTGTTTAAAATAAATAAACGTTACATTGGTGTCAGAAGTAGGATACTGTAAATAAATAGTGGCTCGCATGACATATCTAAAATTCAATTATACATTTTAAGTGAAGAGATCATCCATTCTCAAATGTGACAAGATGTATTAGTAGTCTTGTAGTTTCCCACTCATTTGTTAGTCCAACACTTTTTTTCTAGGCCTGATGATGACCCTCCGAGGTCGAACTGGTAGTAATTTTCAATTTTCAATAAAATTACTGTGACCAAGAGTTTAAGAAATTGTTTGAGTCTATCTAATAAATTGTAAGCCAAAAAAATATAAAAGTTGGTAGCGCAACGGCTTGAGTGAAGTGTTTCCATTCCAAGAACTTGGGTTGAATCTCGGCTGAGGCCAATTATGTTTTTTTTATTAAAAAAACTCATAAGTTTTTGTGTTAACTACCTACCTATCTTTAAAATAGGTATTTTATCTTAATAACCTCTAAATGGGTGTGCCTAAAAAATATACTATACCACTCGAATTGTCTGTATCAACTCTTGTTGTACAAACTACTGTTCGCACTATTTATGGAAGTGTACGAAATTGTCTATTTTGACATTTAAAAAACAATACGAAATAATATGTAATTTTGTGTAGTGGTCATCGAAAAAGATATTTGTGACAAGTATTTAATTAATGATAATAGCAAACATCATAACTTCCTAATCCAGTAAATATGTTTTTCTACGCCCATGACAGTAAACGTTAAAAATCGCAATGTCAACATTCCTTGTAAATAACATTTAACAATAACATGCACATAATGAGATCTCATAACATACACGTGCGTTTTGATAAGAAAACTTAAATTTCTTAGTTTGATCAAATTGCAATCAAATTTGTATCTACATAAGACTTTATTTGGTTTATTTACATAAATTTAGTCAATTTAAAAACATAAAAACTGTTAGCATTAGCCAGATACATTTTGGATTAAAAAAGTGATGCCCCTAAATGTCAGCAACACATTATACAATTTGGAAAAACTAATTGTAAGTCGCGTTTTCTTATGGAAATTAACGTCGTTTCGTTTATATTGTCAATTTTTGTAACAAAATATTATTGTATTCGAACATTTTCTCAACTTTTCCTACGAATATGTCTGTTAGTAGTGAAAGTGATGAAATTATGAGCATTCCACCGGAGATTTTAGAAAAAGCTCAAGATGCCACACATAATTTGTTATCGCTAAAATCCAAAGAAAGGTACGAAATTACCTATCGAAAATTTATGGATTGGCGACACAAGCGTATGTCCTTTATTTAATAGAAGAAAATAAGTGGGCGTAGAAAAAGTATAGTACGTTACACGAGTTGTGAGCCCATTACGCTCTCGTGAAATTTACGCTCGCCGCTGCGCGGCTTCGTGCGTAATGGGTTACTTACAACTCTTGTTACATAATATACTATTTAAATCTGTCAAATATAAATAAAAAAAATTATTTAAATATAGATATTACGAAAAATAGCATCTTTCGGATCAGAGATAAAATAATTTGTATGTGGCTAGTAATATCGTTGTTAATGGATGTTTTCAGCTAAAGCAGTCACTTCATGACAAATTGTGGCTTGCATCCTTTTTACATCAAGGGCTTCAATTAAAAGTGCTGATATAGAAAATACATTTTTCATGTTTGAGATAAATTACTGTTATGTTGTAAATAAATAAGGAAATACCTATAGTTGTAAATAAATTAAATAATAAACTGTTTAAAATAAATAAACATTACAATAATCCTAATAAATGAATTATTTGTAATTTTAATTATTTTACTTCATACCCCAATTATCTACAATTTTGGTAGATACAAACCTTACAAGATCAAAAAATATAGACAAAAAGATAACAAAATTTGTCATATTATACAGAATGATTGATATATTTAACAATGCTACTTGAACTTCATTTCATATATACGAAAACATTGTTGAATAGAAAAATTAAAATAAAAAAATTATAGTAGTTTTCCATTAGTACAAAATGTATGATAACATGCGCCAAAATACATGCAACATAACATACACACTAGTTTAATAATGGCAGCTGTTGATCTACTTAAACCCACAATACTGTTCAAACATAGTGTAAATTATCAAAAGAGAACTTTTTACAATTTTTCTGATAATTAAATAATCAATATAGTAAAGGATACTATTATACAACAATTTCATAATATACCAAAACTAAAAATTAAAAATATTTGAAGGTACAAAGTTTTTTGGACTAACATATAGAGGGCCTTTCTATTTTTATGGTTCTAAAGAATGGTCTAGATCAGCGTTTCTCAAACTTTTTTGGCGACGGAACCCTTTTGACGGAGCCCTAAAATATTAAAAATATAATTTTTAAACTTTATATTGGTTTTATTTTACTTTGTAACCCCGGGGCATTTCTAAAAAAAAGTCCTCGAGCAAAATCAGTGAAATCTAAAAAAAGCTCCTCAAACCAGGTCCTCCCTTTTGTGACGAACTTCCTCATAGTACTCCTTTAGTAATTATTTTCGCGGAGCCCCCACAGAGGATTTGCGGAGCCCCAGGGCTCCGCGGAGCACACCTTGAGAAAGACTGGTCTAAATAGATAGTTGTTAAACATACCTAGCTTTTACTAGAAAAGTAAATAAAACAATTTTCAAATATATTCTAATAAAGAAATATAGTATAGTTTACTCAATATAAAATATTTATATAATTACTCACCTGTCCTCTCTCTAGTTCTTCTCTCAATTTTTTAATCTACAAAAAAAACTAAATTAATCATTTGAAATATCAGTTAGTCACAATACAATGATTTCAAATGTAGGTATATAAACATTTCCTGCAAATGATCTTTCAAAAGTCAAAATTGGTAGTTATTTTATGACACTAATAAAAAATAAAAATATATAAGATAATAAAGTTTAATTATAAAACTAAATTTATAATATACTTATTTTAACAGTTATTATACAATTCATTTTAAAGATATAATTTTTTATAAAAAAATAACTAATATAGGACTAATATAAAGTATTTAATTTAAAAATTGTTAAGGAATTATCTAATTCAAATTTTAACTAAAAATATAAATTTATTATTTGGCATTTTGATGAGGATAATTAGAAATTTTAATACTGTTTTTATAAAAATAAATTTATCCATAAGAATAATGAAGATTTAATTGTTGGTTTCAATTAATATCAGAAAAGAGGCAGAAAATTACATATTTATAATCTATAACATTTTTAGAATTACTTTAAAAATATATTTTACTGTAATATTCCATATTTATATTTTTGACTATGAAATGTAATTATTCTTTAAGCATTTGTCATAAACAACTCAAGCAATAAATGTTCCTTATTTTAAGAGTTTATACTTTGGTATTTTATTAATCACATAATGTGCATTTTTAAAATTGGTCTATAAAAAAATGTAAGTAACAGTTATAACGTATAGTTTTATATTTCATCAAAAAACTTTAATAATAATGAAATAATTGTCGTCTTTGGCACTTACTTCCAATTCTTGGTGGTGACACAATTCTTTGAGTTCCTTGCAATCAGTGTCTGATAATTCTTGCCCTGGAAGATGACGCCAATTAAAACTTAACAATTAGAATAATAACTAAATAAGCCAATACATTTATGGGAAAAATTTGTTGAAAAATTAATCTAGTCCTAAATTGTAGGTATTATAAAGTTTATGTTTACCTTCATCTTCTGCCAAAACATTGCTAGCAAAAGCATTAATTTGACCCTTTAGAGAATTTAAACTGTCATTAAAATTTAACCAGGACATAATTAAGATGTAAATGATCTGAGGGCTGCCATATATTAGGTAATATTTTTATTCAATATTTAAAAAAAATACTTCAAACTCCCTGCCAACACCACTCAAATTTAACTTTGACAATCGTGAAGTGAATCGTGACATTGACAATTTAATAAGTCATTGCCATTTGTCATTTGTCATTAAAGTCAAAATCAAACGACATTTAATAATGACTAACCGGAGAACAGGTTAGTCCGAAACCTATTTCTCAAATTTGTATACGAGGGATGTACCGAAAAATGTTGGCAGTGATTGAATTCCAAGCAAAAATGATCAGTTTAAATTGTTCAAAGAAAGGACCGAGTTGGGTTGTATCCGGATACTTTATATGTATGCGAAAACTAAAAATATCACGAAAACAATTAATTTTATAAATTTTCAACCGAGTTTTCAACAAAAATATTGTTGTGACCTACATCACCAAAAACGAATTCAGCATGTCAAAGACTCACTGGTAGGCTTTTAGAAAAAGCATGCAAAGTCTTGTCTCGTGCTGGGATTACGAACTTGTGGAAGTTTCTAACTCATGTACAGCGAGACTGTATGGTCAAGAGAAGAGACTTTTTTTGAACAGTTTTTGTTTCCTGTTTGTTTTATACCGCTTCTTATTTTCGATATAAAGAGCCTGGCAAGATCAAACCTCTAGTTCCACTTTGCTTGCATTGAGTATTGAAGTGAATATAAGGATGTGGAATATCGATGTTGCCAGTTACCGGTCGATAGCAAGTCATCGACTCCTGACTTCAACTGTGAATGGGCACTATTGCGAAAGTGTCATTTCTTTTATGTGCGAACGCCATTTAATATTTACTCCAAGACAAGCAAATAAGCATTAGAACTGACGGTTTGATCTTGCCAGCACTCTACATACATGCATGCCTTGTATTTTTACTTGTTTTCAATTACATTGTATTTATAAATTATGACAATATATATTGGCATAAAAACATTATTTTAACTCACTTTAAAAGTATCCTAAAAATTATCCCAAAAAGTAACCTTTAAAGAATTCAAGTGAATTTTTAGGTGAATGTATCCATACATTTTAAAAGTATCAGGATACATTGTAAGTATCCGTATTCGGTACTCGGATACTTTTTTCCCGTATCCGACTTAAGTCTTAAAAGGAAAATTTAAAATGTAATATAATCATTGCAATAATTTTACAATAAAAATTAAAAACATAGTAAGGAATAAAAGATCCATATTTAAATATTTATCATAAATATTTTTAAATTTAATAAAATAATTGCATGATGAGTGTGTTATAATAACATAACCTCATATATAATATTAGTAAAGGTATTATTCTTAAAGAAATGAAGAATAGGGCGGGTAGGGGTTAACGTTTCCCAGCCAAATTCATTAATTTTTACTGCACAGTTGCATTCTATTATAAATAAGACGCTGGGAGATCTGTGACCACGCACATATAAATTCAATCTGGTTTCTGTGCATTGTAAAGTAATGTACTCTTCGGATTTTAATCAAGCTCTACTTACATTACATAACTTCTATATCCACAAAAGTTAAGCCTGTATAACATGTAACTCAAAATAGTAAACAATAAACATTTATAATTATTGTTTTTCAAAATGCAAAATAGCTTCCAGGACCTACTGATCTAATTTAATTTTTTTCTACTACTTATATCTACATGAAACGGTTTTTAGCTTCTCCTGTAAAATTATTACGTATGGAGTTAGAAGGTTTACATGTTAAGGTATATAACTATATACTAACTCATTTCGCTTAATATATTCTTGCTTTAAAAGTGTATTTTGGTTTCAAAATATAAAATTCAATTTACAGAAAATTTACTTTTATTGACCTTTATTGTTTTTGCTTTATATAGGTAGTATGCCAGGATACATTTATAAAATTTGAATTGGGTAATGCCTATGTATTACTCTCTCTGATTATTACGGCATATCCTTGAGAGTAATAGCCAATATTACTGATATTAATAATCTACTATTGTCAACTGTAATAAAAATTTTTAATACCTATTTAATATAAAAAATGTATTGATTTTTAATAAATTTTTTTTCGTTTTCTAGAATTTACCAGTCGCACCTCGTATAATATTCCTGGATTGGCGTGCCATTTAAAAATATGATTTCTCTAGTTAGTCGTTTCTTATTAAAATTCAGATTCTAGGCATACTTACGCGACTACAAATAAAAATGATTTTCTGAATATTATAGAATTAAAGATGATGTCAACAAATTATTGTTTGTTGAAACGCATGTTTTATCTTCATAGTCATTAAACTTTATATTATTAATGTATATAAAGAGATTCCTTCAAAAATTTAATATAATTTTTTAATGTTACTCAACCTAGCAGACTCGCAAACGTCAAAAACGTCACTGACGTCAGTCATTTTAGAAATTCTAAGAACGCACGGAAACGTCAATTTCGTTGGAGTTCACCTTATCATAATTTTTTTTAATAATGTTCTTCATAAAGAAATGAGTAAAATTTGTAATAAAATAGTTTTTTTACAATGTCCGTGCATTTGTGAGGAATGAGTAGTTATTGAATGTGCTTCTTAAAAACAACCTTCAGGGTCTGTTTCTTTGTTTTGTTACTCAAGATAGGAAAGAGTGGTTTTTCTAGCTAATAGTTAAGTGAAGGAGTTTTAAGGTGTTTGGTGTGATACGCATAAAGTAAAAGCAGTCTCTAATAATAATTAAAACATATCCTTTAATTCGAAATAAGATTATAAAAAATGTGGCAAACACAAGCAGTTCAGATAACTCAAAATAACAAAGAAAATCAGCTCCAAAAGAATGAAGACAAATTACCAACTCTCGGAATGACCTCTGCGATATCAGCAGCAGGACCTAAACCGACAGATTTAATAAAAACCAAGGAACTCATAGAGACATTGAAGCCATTCGATGTATTTGAGAGTGAGCAGGAGCTCAATAAGAGAATGCACATTTTAGGAAAATTATACAATTTAGTTAAGCAATGGATTAAAGAGGTGTCTCTTACACATAATATGCCTGAAAGTGTTGCAGAGAGTGTGGGAGGAAAAGTGTACACATTTGGTAGTTACAGATTGGGAGTAAGTAATTTTTTTTTATTAATTTAAGTATACATCTACTTATATCACTAAAATGCAAGAAGACCTGTTATCTCCTTTACACAAGTAAGATAATACCAAATTAAGGTCAATGTTACTATTTAGCACATTCTTTACCATTGCAAACTTGTTTTTGTTAGTCTGTTTTTTAAATTTGTTGATAAAATGTTTGTAATTGTAAAGAATTATAAAAATATTGTTTAGTTTTTAATATTAGGATTAGTCTTGATTGCAAAAACGTCCTAAACATAAGATAACAATAAAGCCAGCACTATATTGTTTCCTGTATATCTAATATTTTAAATAAAATACATACTCATATTTATATATTTTTTCTATTTTAAAACTTATATGACACTGCATAAATTATTTTTGAATTTAAAGTACAAGGTTGAATGTATTCATTCATTTATTTATTATTTATTTTAGCAAGTATAACATTGAAAATCAGATACTTTTTTTTATAATAATATACCTATACTTATGTTTGTTATTTCTCACACTGCTTCTAACTTCATATTATGAGTTTGAAGGGAAATATGACAAACACTTCAAAATAAATATAATTTTTAAATTTATTGCCTCTAATATATATAGAATTAATCTAGTTTGAAATAAATATTGGGATTATACTTTAAGTACCTTGTTTTTCTAGAAAATATTGAAAAACTAATGTGTACATTACTAGAAGTTCATACTCATTAGATTTTTTGTAGTGCCAAATAATATTACAGTTATTTGAGTTTAATCTTAAGTACCTGAATACTTACCAGAACAAATTTGAATAGTAGAAGTAAGAAGGTGTTTGAAAACTAATGAACTTGTTTTCTACTAAATGTAACTGTGATAATAATAATTAGTTTGTATTTGATATATTACCTGTAGATACAAATTCTTCTATTCTTTATCAGTGTATTTTAGCATATTATAATTTTTTATAGCTTTATGAAAAATATTTAATTTCCTTTGTCCTCTCACAATGATTTTAGGTACATAGTAAAGGGGCTGATATTGATGCTCTCTGTGTCGCCCCAAGGCACATTTACAGGTCAGATTTCTTTTCATCTTTTTATGAACTACTCAAACAGCAACCTGAGGTCACTGACTTGAGGGTAAGTACTGGTTCCAAAACTTATATTTACTATAAATAATAAACTTCTCTTCCTATCAACTAATATAAAAGGATTTTTTTAAGAAATATTCATGATTTGCTATTTATTTTTATGTCAACTATTAATTTAAAAAAGAGTGTCATCTGCATGTGCATATACTTTAAAATAATTTAAAAATTGGAATGTAGACTTTTTCATTAATGTTATCTTAAAAAGTTATTGTTACATTAATAAGGAAGATAATTTCCTACAATACTTATTTGATAATTACCTGAATAATCATATAATTGGCAAGGTCGCTCATTTTTTAAAATTTCAATTCTTTAAACAAACAGCTTCAGAGTTTTTATTTGATGAGTTTAAAAAACAAATCACTTTTCTTTTTACTATATATAGTTTATTGATGATGACCTTGAGGCTATTACTAACTGGGAATTCAATAAAACTAGTATCTAAAGATATTTTTGGTATACTCAATTATGGGCAAGGATGTAGAATTTTTCAGTATCATGAGACTTAAGAGCCAGAAATTTCTAATCGTTTCAAATCTCAAGAAATTATGTTGTATATAGATCAACATGATTAAACCAGACATGTAGGTGTTTTAAGCTAAGTGATATACAATCGATAGGACATAAATATGTTTATTTCCAACAGGGATATTATAAGCTTATATCATCATAGTTACACTATCAATAAAGAGGGTCATAATTCCCTTGGGATATTATAGATTCTATAAAAATGAACAAAATTTTATTGAAATCTGTCAGAAATAAAATTATCTATGTACCACGGGAATTAATGGGCCTTAATAACCTATTTTTTAGTTATTGAGATTAAATATACATTAAAATGAGTTATTTTTGTGTAGAATCGATAAATAATAGTATTTTTTTTTAATTTGGTCCACATTTTGAAAAAATATTTTTTTTTTTTATTTGGTGTCATCGACATCGACTGCTAATGTATTTGCCTCGTGTTCTGTGTAGGCTTTGTTACTGTTTCCCAACGCCACTTTAGGAACAGCACTGTTAATTAGAACCCAACAGTGAATGGTCAAGTGGGAAAAAAGAATTAAATTTTAATCAAACTATATAAAACTAATTTAATTAAGAATATTAAAACTAAAATCATAAAAGTGAGATGAGTGAGATGAGGAGAGAAATAGAAATAGAATTTATTCATCTTTGAGAATTATACACTATACAAAGACACTACCCAGACAGCACACCAAATCCTTTGGATATTTACTGAACATCCCAATATCCACTGAATGTCCAGTCCATGGTGGATATCTATTTTATATCCATGAAATGTAATTTATAGACATGCAAATGTCCATAAATAATAGTAATTATATAGCAAATTATTAAAAAATTACGCCATTGTGGCTAATAGTACCGTTCAGATATTTAAAATTAATTTTTTTAAGGTGTATTCAATATCCCATGGACATCCACATATATCAAAGTCTTAGCGCGGACGCAAACCATCGTGGATATCTACTAGATGTAATTTTTGATTTTGCTTCCTAAGTATAGATGGCGATACCACTTTCGTATCTACTCATGCTCAACCCGCCATAATTGAGTTGATCAAAAAAAATTTCGCATTAAGACTCTATTAGAGACTGGAGTCGAGAATTTCCATTTATTGCTGAAGAGTCCTAATAAGGATGACTTTTTCCTTAGTGGGCAAACTCAAAGGCAGATTGTTGGAAATTTTTTATCTCTATTTTCTGTCGACGTTCTTCAATAATCATTTGGTTACTTATGAATGTCTACTAAAGATACCTATAAAATATTTTGCTGAATATCTGAATTCTATATCCTGGGATATAGACGGACATTTGGTTGGATATCCACAAAATATATTCTGGGATTTCTTGTATTGTCTGGAAGATACTAATTAGATATTTTGCTGAATATCCATAGGATATCTTCTATATTCTGGATATAGACGGACATTTGGATATCCATATTAGATCCACGGAATATTTCTGATATCCTGTGGATATATTGGATATCCACAAAAGATATTCTGTGGATATCTCTGGGATTTGGTGTGTTGTCTGGGTAGGTACATACCCAGACAACACACCAAATCCCAGAGATATCCACAGAATATCTTTTGTGGATATCCAATATATCTACAGGATATCAGAAATATTCCTATGGATATCCAAATGTCCGTCTATATCCAGAATATAGAAGATATCCTAATGGATATTCAGCAAAATATCTAATGAGTATCTTCCAGAAAATATAAGAAATCCCAGAGATATCCACAGAATATATTTTGTGGATATTCAATATATCTAATATGGATATCCAACCAAATGTCCGTCTATATCCCAGGATATAGAAGATATTCGGATATTCTACAAAATATTTTATGGGTATCTCTAGTAGAGGTTTGTAAGTAACCAATGATTATTGAATAACGTCGAAAGAAAATAGCAGAGATAAAAAATATTTTCAACACTCTGCCTTTGATTTTGCCCACTAAGGAGAAAGTCATCCTTATTAGGACTCTTCAGCAATAAATGGAAATTCTCGACTCCAGTCTCTAATGGAGCCTGTAGGACAAAAATTTCGATCGAACTTTATTACGGCGGGTCGAGCATGAGTAGATGCGATAGTGGTATCGCCATCTATACTTAGTAAGCAGAATCAAATAACATCTAGTGGATATCCACGATATTTTGCGTTCGCGCCTAGACTTTGATATATTTAGTGGATGTTCATGGGATATTGAATACACCTTAAAAAAAATAATTTTAAATATCTGAACGGTACTATTAGCCACAATGGCGTAATTTTTTAATAATTTGCTATATAATAGACAATTCATGTTAAGATTAGTTTAAAAGTTCAAAAAATCTCCTATACTATAAAATACATTATTTGCAAGAAAATCATTAAGGACGGGGTATCCCTGTGTATTAAAAGTGTATGTGTAGACCAAAAGTTAAATCGACAGTTTTCCGAATATGTAGTGTTTAAAAATCTAATTTTTGGCCAAATTAAAAATAAAGGTCTAACTTAGGTCACCTTACTATTGAAAATTAATAAATTTATTATTTTCAATAAAAACCAATCGTGTAAAATAACCCCCTTTTATTTCATCTCAAAGGTGCCGTGTAGATTTATTTTAACCTCGATGTCAAACAAATAATAAAAAAAAAAATGTAATACGACCTAAGTTCAACCTTTACTTGGAATTTGGTACACTCAGAATATTTAAATATTGTATATTTTTCAAAACGTGTAGATTTGAAATTTATAAGTCACTTTCTTTGAAGAAACATGTCAAAACGAATTTGGACCAAAAATGGCGTCTAATTTAACTCTAAATAAACCCCGAAAAATCAATAATTACTTCATGTAATGTAATAAAGATGGTGCTCCGATCGATAATATTTTGACTAGTATTTGATTATTTCCGTTTATATTATGTGTGTTTACGGGGGATAAACGAGATGATAATACTGCCTCTGATACTGTTTATATGATACAATTGGAAACCACCTTTTTTCATCGGCACTCTTTTTTCGCCGGTGACCTTTTGACACGCGCCTATTTGTTATGTTATGATTATCGGTTATTTATCAACTAAAAGTATAGGAAATTAGTACATTGTGAATGATATCATTTTAATGCTATTTTTGAAACTAGTTCAAAAGTTGCATTTAACGATACTCAATGTTTCATTTTACCGTCAGTTTTAGTTTGACATATCCGTCATTTTAAGTTTACAAAGCTCAGTTTCTATTCGAAAGTAAGAGAAACAGTCAAAATAAAATGCGAAAAACACTTTTTATCAATTTCGTTTATGTCAACTGAAAGCGACAATTGCTGAAGACGTAACAAATAAATTAGGTCAAGAAATAAAAAAATCTATACTATAAGTAACATACCATATATTATACCTGTTAAAATAAATCAAAAATAAAAGAACGTATCGTTGACGTATATACTTTTCCATCTGTGATTAGTGATTACCAATTGCAAATTACGTATGAACATGCTTATGCGCAAAAAACCATTATTTCAAGTACTTGTATGATTAAAGTCCATTAAATTATTATTTTTATAAATTTGCTAATCTTTGCACTTTAATTTTCATTATATGGGGTATCCAGACATTTTAATCCTCGTCCTCTTCTATTTAAAATTATCTCAGGTGCCATATATTCCGAGTAAAATTTTTCTAATTTTTCAACCATATTTAAAAAAAAAAAAAAATGGGTTGAAAATTAATTTTTTCAACAAATAGTGGATTTTCATCTCCAGTATATACTACAAAGTAGCACAATTTTCTTGGAGCTATACCTAGCTGTCCTTGAATCTAAAAGTATATAAAATCATTATTAGAAAATCAAACATAAAAAGAATATTAATATTGTAGTATCATTTCTAGCACATTTCTTAAAAATCATGAATTATTTTAACATATTGAAATTTTTCACCTGGTAAAAGTAGTTATGGTTTTCTTTTAAATGAATGTCACCATCTTCTATTTTTAAGCATGGAAATGGGTTTGAATATTAGGTAATGTGCGCCAATAATGTCAAATTATGACAATTCGCAGAAAACGTCAACTTTTTATTTAGATTTTAATGTGCAAAAGCCTACCTACTTTGGATATTAATCGTAGAAAAAATATATTCAGAATAATGAAACATTATTATTAAATAACAAGTTTTTTTATTGTCAATTTAATACGTAATATTATTTTTTAATTGCAAATGTTTGAATGTTAAAATTATAGCGTTTAATTTTTTTATTCAATGACGAACTCGAGAGTGATAGAAAAAAAATACTACCTACCTTTAATGCAGGAAGTCGATGTCAATTTATCCAAAAATAAAACTGATTAAAATGTACACTAGGACACTTGGCACAAATAAATAAATTTTCTATTAAAGAAAATAACACTTATTAAAAACAAACAGCACAATAAAACACTTCAGAAACGTGTAATGTAATTTTGAAAAC